CCACCAGCTGCGTTATAACTTAGCTACGCAACACAACTAACACACAGGTACACAACACAACTATCAACACAGGTACACAACGCAACCATCAACACAGGTACACAACACAACCATCAACACAGGTACACAACACAACCATCAACACAGGTACACAATAAAACTATCAACACAAGGTACACAACACAGCCATCAACACAGGTACACAAACATAGCATCAAAACAGGTACACAACCAACATCAACACACAGGTACACAACGCAACTATCAACACCGTACGCAACACAACCATCAACACAGGTACACAACACAGCCATCAACACAGGTACACAACACGGGCCATCTACACAGGTCCCCAAAAACAACCATCATCACACAGGACACAACACAGCCATCAACACAGGTACACAACACGGCCATCTACACAGGTACACAAAGCAACCATCAAACACACAGGTACGCAACAAACATCAACAAAAATACATACGCAACAATCAACACAGGTACACAACAACAATCATCAACCCCAGGTACACAAAACAATCATCAACACAGGTACACAACCAACCCTCAACCAGATACACACAAAAAACCAACAACACAGGTACACAATACAACCATCAACACAGGTACACAACACAACCATCAACAAGGTACACACACCAAAAATCATCAACACACAGGTAACAACCTAACCATCAACACAGGTACACAACAAACCATCAACACAGGTTTCACAACAAATCATCAACACACAGGTACACAACAACTATCACACACAGGTACACAAACAATCATCAACACAGGTAAACAAACACAAACCCTCAACACAGGTACACAACACAATCATCAACACACAGGTACACAACAAATATCACACACAGGTACACAACACAACCAATCAGCACATAGGTACACAACAAAAACCATCAACACAGGTACACAAACACAGTCATCAACACACAGGTACACAACACAACTATCAAAACAGGTACACAGCACAACCATCAACACAGGTACACAACACAACCTCAACACAGGTACACAACACAACTCTCAAACACAGGTACACAACAACTCTCAACACAGGTACACAACACAACTCTCAACACAGGTACACAACACAAAAATATCAACACAGGTACAAAAAACGATCAGCACACAGTACACAACCATCACACATCTCGATAAATCTCTCCTGCAATTAACATTTAGACTCCTGCTCGTGAAAACTTAATGAACAGTCCGCACGAAAAAAACTATAAAACAAACTTAAGGTCTCACAGAAAATTGATGAGAAGCGAGAACGTCGAGAAGAATAGCATGGTCCTTCCAGAGTGAAGGAGGAAGTGTATCCTGCGACCACACGATGGTGTGGGGACGCCAGTCCAGCGCGCCACCTTTAATGAGGCTCCCCGGGAACCTAGCAGTCATCCATGCCAAAAAAATAGAACTTTAAAATGTATACCAGCTGAGACCCCGGCAACCCGTGACGATTCAGTAACAAATATTCTTGATTCCACATAAACCCTTCCCCTCCTACACATTAATAGGGTGGACCAAACTAAGTCAAAGTAGGGAATATAAGAACCTAAAACAGGCAGGGAAATTTATTTGTATAGTAGTAGTTTAAGAGAACGGCGCCTGGACAGAGACGCGCAACTCCCCCTCACATACAAAGCTCGGGAATACACACCATACAACAGAAAATACTAATTCCGGAACCTCCCAAAAAGATATATAAAACTTTACTTGGGAGTTTTTTCTTTTGAGAGGAAAAATGTGAAAATTTATAAGAACAAAAAGTTCTCTTGGGAAATCTCACCATGTGGTCCCTCAAGGAGTGTACTTACCACGCCTAACTTCTTTTATTTAAATGACTTGCCATGAGGAATAGAAAAATTATATGTATTTGTTTGCGGATGATGATAAAATCTTGAGCAAAATAAACAAATTCTTTGTTTGGATCCCACACCTCTTGCCAACACCCGAACACTCGCTTCTCTTACAACACCATCTATAAATATATTGAACAACCACGGTGACATCACACGTCCTTGTCAAAGGCTACTTATACTAGGAAATAATCTCCCTCTCTCCTACATACTGAGCCTCACTAAACTGTTGCAACTAGGCAAAAAATGGATTACAGAATTTATTATTAATAAATACCATGTAACGCAAATAACAAAAACAGCAAATAACATGGGAGAAAGAGAAATCAGAATGGAACGTAGATTGTGACAAAATTTTGTATCGTATAGGAGAAAAATGATCTAGGAGTTATTATTAATAAAAAATTGTCACCAGATAATATAAATGAAATTATGAGAAAATTATATGATACTCTAACTTTCCAATATATAGGCAGCTTTCAAATATATGGATGGAGAAATGCAGGGAAGCTCTCAGGAACGTGTATTAGGCCAGAGCTGGAACATGCTGCTGCAGCTGCCAGCGTTCTCGACATATAAAAAAAAATGGGTCCATATAGAAAAAACCCGAAGGAGAGTTAAAAAAAATGGATGGTTTAGAAAAACACGTAAGCAAACACTAGGACATATTTATTAGAAAACGTTTCAGTCCCAGGACCGAAACTTTTTCTAATAAATATGTCCTATTGTGGATGACACCTGGATCACCATGGTAGTGACCTCCATCGAAGACACTGCGAGACTCCAAGCGAACATCAACCAAATCTTCGAATGGGTCACTCAAAATAATATGAAGTTCAACGAGAAGAAATTTCAACTACTCAGATATGGAAAACTTGAAGAAATTAAATATGTGTCAGGGTATACCACAAATTCTAACCATACAATAGAGCGGAAAAGTAACGTGAAGACCTGGGAGTGATAGTGTCAGAGGATCTCGCCTTCGAAGACCACAACAATGTATCTACCTCATCTGCTACAAAAATGGTAGGATGGATAATGAGAACCTTCAAAACTAGGGACGCCAAGCCCGTGATAATTCTCTTCAAATCGCTTGTGCTCTCTAGGCTGGAATACTGCTGTACACTAACGGTCCCCTTCAAGACTGGCGACATTGCAAACCTGGAGAGTGTACAAAGAACTTTCTCGGCACACATAAGTGCCATAAGGCACCTAAATTACTGGGAACAGTTGAAGGTCCTTGATCTGTATTCCCTGGAACGCAGGCGAGAGAGATACTTGGAAGGTCTTGGAGAGATTAGCACCAAACCTGCACACGAAAAATCACTCCCTATGAAAGCAAAAGACTCGGCAGGAGATGCAACATTCTCCCGATGAAAAGTAGGGGCGCCACAAGTACATTGACAGACAACACAGTAAATGTCCGGAGCCCAAGACTGTTCAACTGCCTCCCATAAGGGGGATTACTAATAGACCCCTGGCTGTCTTTAAGAAGGCACTCGACAGGCACCTAAAGTCAGTACCTGACCAGCCGGGCTGTGGTTCGTACGTCAGCTTGTGTGCGGTCAGCAGTAACAGCCTGGTTGATTAGACCAGGACGACTCCTACCCCGCCTTCCTTCCACTGCAGATTTATATGCCCTCCAAGTCATTCTATTTTGTTCCATCCTATATAAATGTCCACACCACCTGAACAATCCTTCCTCTGCCCTCTGGATAATACTTTTGGAAACCCCGCACTTCCTTCTGACCTCCAAGCTACGGATTCTCTGCATTACATTCAAAACACACATTGCCCTCAGACACGACATCTCCACTGCCTCCAGCCTTCTCCTTGTTGCAACATTCACCACCAATGCTTCATGCACATATAAGAGCATTGGTATAACTATATTCACATACATTCACCTCTTTCAATTCAATTCAATTCAATTCAATTCAAAGTTTATTCTCTATAAGGATTACAATGCTGAGTTTACAGAATTTGGTTATTGTGTGGTTTACATGTAGTAAAATAATAATTACAGAATGTACCACTAGAACACCTAGCATGGCTAGGCATTTCGGGCAGACTTAGTTTAATTCTTAATTTTAAAATATTACAAATTATGAGGCAAGTTGGTATTATGGCTAAGTGACTAAATATTAGTTTGTGAGTTTAGCAATGTGAATGCTTTTGTTTTGGCATAGTACATAGTTTCAGTATTGGAGTATCACAGGCCAACTTATGACTAGTTTGGATTCATTATTTTAAGATTGATATTAATATTTCTGTTTATGGTCAAATGGGTGAGTGAGTGTAAGTGTGAACCACCAGGTGGTATTCGTGTTGTTAGTTGACAGGGTGTATCAGGGAGATAAGATGTTTTCTAGTGGTAGTTTTAAAGGTGATGAATGTGTCTGCAGTTCTAGAGTTTTCAGGTAGGGTGTTCCAGATTTTAGGGCCTTTGACATACATTGAATTTTTGTAAAGGTTTAGTCGGACACGGGGAATGTCGTAGAGATGTTTGTGTCTGGTGTTATGCCTGTGGGTTCTGTCACAACTATCAAGAAAGCGTTTTAGGTCAAGGTTTATATTGGAATTTAAGGTCCTGTAGATGTAAATTGCACAGTAGTAAGTGTGGATGTACTGAACGGGGAGTAAGTTTAGATCTATGAAGAGTGGGGGGGGGTGTTGCCAGGGATGGGATTTAGTGATTATTCTTACTGCAGCTTTTTGTTGGGTTATTATTGGCTTTAGGTGTGTTGCTGCAGTTGATCCCCAAGCACAAATAGCATAGGTGAGGTATGGATAAATAAGTGAGTGGTATAGTGTGAGAAGGGCATTTTGCGGCACGTAGTATCGTATCTTGGAGAGGATCCCAACCGTTTTGGATACTTTTTTGGTTATGTGTTGGATATGGGTGCTGAAATTCAGGTTGTTGTCAAGGTATAGGCCTAGGAATTTGCCCTCATTATGTCTGGTAATTAGAGCGTTGTCGATCTTAATGTTAATTTGCGCAACTCCTGCTCTGCTACCAAACATAATATAGTAGGTTTTGTCAGTGTTAAGCGTAAGTTTATTGGCTGCCATCCAAGTCGATATTTGATCAGCTCCTCGTTAACAATG